GCATAGAAACCTAGTCCGCACACGCTAAGTGAGGCAAATTGAAGCGCTCCCAATGGGCCTACACGAGCGGGCGGGCCTTCAGTGCTCAAGGTCAACTTGCACAACTCAAGAATTTTAGCTAAAAATGACGAAATGTGCGGTAAATGAGTGTAAAAATACGTCAGACAAACATAAAATAGATACTAACATCACATTCCACAAGGAAGTAACGCGTATCAACTTGTATTTTTATATAAATATTCACTAAAACCGAAAATTAACCTGCTACTAAAACTAGCCTACATGAATTTGATTTTTGCGTCACTTGTGACAGTTCGTTTCATATGAAACTATCATTCTATGCGTTATTATTCTAAGTGTATAAGTATATTTTATCTCACTCCTCATTCACTCATTCTCATTCCCTTTCAGTAGTTCTTACTTATTCTTGCAGAGGCGTTAGTTGTACGTTGCTTTCAAGAACTGCAGAAACCGGTCATCATTGTCCTTCTTAAAAAAAATAGTCTGTGACTAACGCTTTGTCAATCTTCAATACTGTTCCTTTATTTTCGGTTTTCATTAATTATCTAAATTTGACAGCTGTCGTTTATCTTTTGAAACTTTTTTGTACCAAGTCCATATTTTCTGTACAAAGTTCGTGATAAAAACAAAAGAAACCAGCTGACAGCTGTCAAAACTCCGTCAATAAAACGACAAACAAATATATTTTTAACGGTTTGTTTTTTGTTTCAATATCCGATCGCTTTCAACATTCGGCATTTGGACTTTATTCTTTGAATTATAAGCATCAATATCATGTAGCAGTGAATCGTTGGTCATAATTTCTTAGCCAAGATTTTTCTCTGGTCATAATTTTGGCAGAATTACATAAATTTATTTGCTATTATAAGTTATGTATCCGCGAATAAAGTGCTTTTCGACTTATATGTACATCTATTATAACATCTTTGATTTACTTATTTGTTCTTTGTAGGTCGAATTATTAGTTTCATTATTCGACATTGGTTTACTGTTGATTAAAAGAAGAAAATCGCTAGTTGCGTTAGCCTTTTGTCACATTTGCTTATTAAATAAAGTTGTACGAGGTTCCATTTATTTGATTAGAAATAGGGTCTTTGGTAATTTGAGCTTATATAGTTTTACAAAATTATGAATTTATAGCTTTCTGTCTCTTGTAATACAGCTCTTATTACCAAATCATAATTAATTGGAATTCTGCATTACGATAAATAATGAAAGAGATTATGATTAACTTTACACTAAGTCTTTATAAAGTTCTGTTGAAAACGATTGAATTTCCAACAATACGTATTGTAATATGAAGCAACGTTCTGTTCTTTTAACAAATGTTTTACGTGTAACAGGAATGGAATGACTACAATCTGAGGTGGAACGACAGCGACTATGGGGGTGTCAAGGACCTACGTATCACTCCCAACAAGCTGTGGAAGCCGGATGTGCTCATGTACAATAGGTGAGGATGAAAGGGTACAATTGGGAAAGTGGGTTCATCGTGGAAGGGGGATAAATGAGAAAGTGGTTTGGATTGAAAACCATGCGCCCTCTACTGTTGTTTTATCCTGTATTGTGTTTTGGAATTTTTACAGAAAGGACAGATTGCCATTATATCTGGAGTAACGGTATGGTTATGTAATTTTGTTTCATAAAACTAACTTTTTAGGTACCTACCTCTGGGAACTTCGTATGTGCATAAACGGTGTTGCTTAGAAATACAATGGGATTAATAGGTACTGATGGCGATGGTGTTCACTGTCTTGAGGATGAAGAGATGAAAATACAGACGCATTTTAAAAGGGTTGAAATGGAACTTTGTGTACTCAAAAACACACTCTACTTTAAATACCTCAAATGTGCGTAATGTAGGGTGTGTTCTTGAGGCGGGGGCAATTTAATCGTAATATGTCCATAGCATGTTTGCATCATCTGAAATGAGAAGCCATTATCGTAAATGTTCACATGATTGTACTAAATATCGTGACGTTATGTGTGTTTATATATATGTGTGTTTATAGTGTAACAGCCGGGAAAGTGTTTTGCACTTGGGCAAGTGTTTTACTCTTGAGAAAGTGTTTCAAACTAGAGCAAATATTTTACACTTGAGAAAGTATTTACCCTTGGGCAAGTATTTTACACTTGAGCAAGTGTTTTACACTTGAGCAAGTGTTTTACCCTTGGGCAAGCGTTTTACACTTGGGGAAGTATTTTACACCTAGGCATGTGTTTTACACTTATACAAGCGACTTTACCTGACCTTATTGAAATTTGCGAGTTTCATGAAAAGTTACCGTCAAATCTTAGGACGCGATCGAACTAAATTTTTCATACAAATTAAACTAAAGGATGCCAGTTTTATATTGAATCTGAAAATATTTTATAATAATTTGTAATAAATACTCACAGAAGTTATTTGCCTATATGGCAGTATATGACCACGCTTGAAAATGTTGCTAAATATCTCGTATTGTTTAACTCCAATTTAGTGTACTTAACCTCCTGGCCTATTGTCTAGCAAGCGTGCATAATAGACTTATTCACAATAATAGTCCCAACAGATTTGCTGTGCGAATAATTTATGAGGTTTTGAATTTGAACAATTACTCCTTATGTGAATAGTTTTTAATGTTTTTACCCTCGGACTAGGTTTGCTCAAACATTCTTAGCACCCAGTTACATGATGCGAAAGTTTCTGCGCGGCCGCAGCGTGACTACCGCCAGCTTACCACGCTTTCACGTAATTAATGGCGAATTTGAATTCTATTTACTAGGCAACAACATTTAAATTGCGCCCATAAGCTAAAATTTTAATGCATCCCTGAATCCCATACTACACTCATGGACATATTTAGAGGTACTCTAAAATAATACGATAACATATGAACCACTCGCCACATATACTAGAACATTTGTTAAAAGAATCACTTCAATCATGCTTTGATTTCGATTGAACGTAGTGGAATACGTGCCTAGTGATTCTTACATTTCTAAATTAATTGTATGAGGAGTCTAGCCCAGGGCCTCTTAATTCAGTCGCCATCAAGATCGTAAAAAATTCGATTTTACAATAACATTCTATGTTTATAAATATTTTAGTGCTGGTGTTATGTAAAAGGAATGAAATCGACTTTAGAATATTTACAAAAGAAAAACTAAGGCAACTTTTCAAGGTTTCAAGCCATTTTCTATTTTCATTAAAAGTAAAATAAAAAACATCATTTATTTCAGATTTCTGGAATCCATATTTTAAATCATAAAATTGATTAGACATTAAAATAACTTTAAAAATAAATAAAAGATAAAAAAGGAAAATAAAAAATCATAATCAATATCAAAATCAAAATCATAATCACACAATCAAATTTAAAAAAGTATTGTAATTAAATGACATAGAAATAAAATAAGTTATCGAATGCATCCGAATCGAAAGGACACTTTATCTAAAATAAAATATACAATAGATAATAATAACTTAATTTGAAAATTCGATATATTTTACAGCCATCCACGTTATATCCGTTTCCCTGGCGGGATTTTATAATTACGTGATTTTGTGACGCGGAAAATTAGCACCGCTGATGCTCATTGGTATAGAGAATTATTACAAGTTTCGTGTTATATCTCCAGTTGTTTGTATAACCACGAGAATCAAAATGTTAAAATGTAGCAGAATTCGAACAAAATTTCATGGGATATATTAAAATCACACATGAGTCTTCTATGTACACGTTACCAATTAATAATTTACGTAATTTGGAAATTTCTATGTTAGGAGTTTATTTGATAGTAATTACACTTTTTATATTTGCTTTTATTAATTAATGATCGTGAGGGCGCGTTTCCATTATGTCGTGACGACAAATAGTCGTGCAGTTTAAAGTGTCGTGGCTTGTAATACGGTTAACTGTTGCTCACGACAGACTGTCTATGGTATGAGTTAGAACGACAGTCGTCTGACGACGATAAAGAAAAGTCACGATAAAAGTGTGACGACAGATAATCGCAGTTTCAATCGATTCTGTCGTGCAAATGACAAGGCGGCTGCCGTGAACCAATAAACTGTCGTCACAGTCTAGCTAGCTGTTCACGGCACGACGACACGATAGTCGTTCAACGTATAAACGTCCACGACACAGCCATGTAAGATAGTCGTGATAATAATATGGGAACAGAGTAGACGCGACAGTCGTCCAACGATAAATAAAACGATATTTACGACATAATGGGAACGCGTCCCGGCTGTGACACGGTGTAGAGGCCAATTTTATGCAAAACCAGGTTTTACTGTGTTTAAAAATTATACTTTTATTTTATGGTGGTGATATCGGCAATAACTAAATATGCACGCTCCATAAATCAGGCTTAACATACCGTTATACAAATTGTTTTGGCAGTTCACTATAAATATCTCCGAAAACCTTGTAAAACTTTCCATGTTCCCTATTGTTGTACTAATATGCGATGTCACTCGCACAGAAATGTTATGAGACAGTCCTTCAAAAGAAAATTAACTAAAAATTAAAATTTTATTCTATTGCTATTAAGTTTAAATTATTTATGTAATGGAATAAAATTAATTATAACATGTTGTATATCGTTCCGTGTCAATCTTAAAACCTATCAACATCTTCATTTTTATATCAACATTCCCATTCGTTGAGTTGTAGATTGTCAGATATATAGCAAACAGTATAATGGATCATCTAAAACGTAGGCAATTTACCTTGAATTTATAGGACTGGAGAAATACTTGAAATTGTCGGCCCGCACTTGATGAAAAATGCCTGCCACAAACTCCTTCACAAATGTGGCTCATAAGTCATATGAGTAAGAACGTGTGAGCGTTAGTTTTTTATGGCCACGCCGTGTTGCTTGGGCTAAACCATTTCCTTTTAAACGTTTGGCAGGTGTTACCCGTACGCGTAGTGTGCGTTGAATTTACGATTACACAAATTTGTGCATACAATGTAGTGATACATTTTCGTTATATCAGATTTAAACCAAAGATGATTAATTTTATCAAATTATATCACAGTAGATTTTAAATAAAATCTTCAAAATTATTTTTTGTAATAGGTAGCGTGAGCGAGAACTTTGCCTCAGTAGGTTATGTTTCCGAGTTTTTTTTCTATTATTTGCATTATATTTCTTTTTTTACTCAGAGCTTTAAGTCGCAAAGATACTGACTGACTCTGCGCCTGTCACCCTGAGACACAAATTGACAAGTCCTACGTGCCTGTAATTTCACCAACACCCTTACCTTTCAAAACCGGAACGCAATAATGGTCACGTTACTGTTTGGCGGCAGAAATAAGTAAGGTGGCAGTACCTCCCTGGATAAACTCTTTCACAAACTGCTATTAAAACATTTTCCATGTTATCTTAAATTATTACTTGTGTTATTTATAATGTTTCAACAATTTGCCTATATTTTGCATCTGGTTTTATGTTAAAAGTTAATACAGATCAGTCAGATATAAATTGCAACGCGTATTTTATTCGGTTTTACTATTTATCGTTGGTTCGAGTTCATTGATGCAGTGAAAAGTTGATAATGTCATTACCGAGTCGACCTCAGGCTAGCAGATAGCCAAATCGGATGCATCGCATGTTTTGCTAACCAAACGTGGTGTTTTATTCATTGACCTTGTTTTCATTATAAAAATTATGAAGTCGTAGTTAGCCAGAATCAATGCTTCAGATTTTCAATTGGACGTAGTTAAACAAAAAAGAACCAATGGACATCCAGTCACTTTCGAGATATGACAGTTTGAAGTTTAAAAGTGCTTCTCACTCTTGTTTTATTTTTAAAACTTATAATGTTATGTAACTTCACAGATATTTATTTATGTTTATGTGTTTAGACTTTAGGAACCGTTTGGTACATAGGTATAATTCATTTTTCGATAATTTTGTGGATTGGAACCTTTTTGTTTAACTACGACCAATCCTAAGATGGCGGCGCTGGTACAAACTTTTGACGAACAAATTAGTTATTTAAAATTCTAACGTAACTGGAAGCTTTATTAAAATTTAAGCCCTAAATGAGCTTAAAGGCTTTACGGGACAGTGCCTAAATACTAAGTAAGCAGGCAACGCTGATTTCCAAGGACATTTTCTCAAATCGGGCGCGAAACGCTCTCAACACTAAACCTGGAGTATTAGACGACTTAGGGTTGCAAATTATAATAATAATTGTAACTTTTTCATTGAAAAAAAAACCGAACTTAAAAGTTTGCTTCGATTGCCATGGGATCCTCTTATCAGATTCTGATTTCTTGGTGACAATGGGATTGTTACGGACTCCTTTGTACATTTAATACTTAGAGCATGTATGCCATTGACTTTATTTGTAAGTCAATGATGTATGCTCTAAGATTTTATATTTTCTTTTCTGGTTGTCATTCACGGTGACGGTGAAATCACCGTATATATATACATCAACAAATGTTGATTACA